ATCAGCTGCTCTGTGTAAATTTAACCAGCGCTGCTGAAAAAGTCTGGTGCCCTGTATACAAGTACACGTGTCTTACCTTGCCTAGTATTTGAAAAGTTTCTAGTAGTAGTATTAAAAATTGTCAGACAAAAGTAGTGCAGTAACAAGTACAATATTTGCCTCTGAGATGTGGGAGTACTGTAAAGTTTGTACAAGTACCTCAAATTTGTACTTAAGTGCCGTACTTAAGTATGAGCGACTGGCTCTGTTGTACGGAGAACTTTTTACTGACAGCAGAAATGTCTCGGATCAGCTGATGACCGACCTGCTGCTTGCAGCTGGAAATCTGAACTTCATGTTCTCATCGTCTCTCCCCTCATCCTCAGTTGTGAGCGCTGTGTCTTGGCGCCGTGCAGGCGCTCTGAGCTCGTAGGCGTTCTTTACATCCCGTTTGGATTCACTTGGTTTCTCTCCTCTTCCTCCCACGTTCACACTCTGTCACTCCGTCCTTCCTCCACATTCACGCCATCTTTTCTCTCTGCCGAGCCTTCCTCACACGGTTTTTACTGCAGATGCAAGAACATGGCGTGTTTTTCACACTCTGCGGCAGAATGTGTGTTTGAGTAAATATCCAACAGAGAGACCAGGTAGTTTTAATCCTGAACCAGCAGCAGCTCAGTCTCATCAGGTGTTTCTCCAGTGTGCAGCAGTGAACTGGTTTAAAACCAGTGACGGTGGTTTGGTGGTCGCCTTGATGATGATGATGATGATGATGATGTGCAGTGTTTAGACTCTTCAAATAGATTTATTTTTGGCTTGATTCTAAAATTCTTACTTACTGAAAAAATACAACTCTTTTTTTCAAGATTTACCACCATAAATATGTCTCTACTGCGTTTATTTACTGCACTCTACTGCGTTTATTTACTGCACTCTACTGCGTTTATTTACTGCGTTCTACTCCACTCTACTGCGTTTATTTACTGCACTCTACTCCACTCTACTGCGTTTATTTACTGCACTCTACTGCGTTTATTTACTGCACTCTACTCCACTCTACTGCGTTTATTTACTGCACTCTACTGCGTTTATTTACTGCACTCTACTGCACTCTACTGCGTTTATTTACTGCACTCTACTGCGTTTATTTACTGCACTCTACTGCGTTTATTTACTGCACTCTACTGCACTCTACTGCGTTTATTTACTGCACTCTACTGCGTTTATTTACTGCACTCTACTGCACTCTACTGCGTTTATTTACTGCACTCTACTGCGTTTATTTACTGCACTCTACTGCACTCTACTGCGTTTATTTACTGCACTCTACTGCACTCTACTGCGTTTATTTACTGCACTCTACTGCACTCTACTGCGTTTATTTACTGCACTCTACTGCACTCTACTGCGTTTATTTACTGCACTCTACTGCGTTTATTTACTGCACTCTACTGCACTCTACTGCGTTTATTTACTACACTCTACTGCACTCTACTGCGTTTATTTACTGCACTCTACTGCACTCTACTGCGTTTATTTACTACACTCTACTGCGTTTATTTACTGCACTCTACTGCGTTTATTTACTGCACTCTACTGCACTCTACTGCGTTTATTTACTGCACTCTACTGCACTCTACTGCGTTTATTTACTGCACTCTACTGCGTTTATTTACTGCACTCTACTGCGTTTCTGTACTGCACTCTACTGCGTTTATTTACTGCACTCTACTGCGTTTATTTACTCCACTCTACTGCGTTTATTTACTGCACTCTACTGCGTTTCTGTACTGCACTCTACTGCGTTTATTTACTGCACTCTACTGCACTCTACTGCGTTTCTGTACTGCACTCTACTGCAATCTACTGCGTTTATTTACTGCACTCTACTGCGTTTATTTACTCCACTCTACTGCGTTTATTTACTGCACTCTACTGCGTTTCTGTACTGCACTCTACTGCGTTTATTTACTGCACTCTACTGCACTCTACTGCGTTTCTGTACTGCACTCTACTGCGTTTATTTACTGCACTCTACTGCACTCTACTGCGTTTCTGTACTGCACTCTACTGCAATCTACTGCGTTTATTTACTGCACTCTACTGCGTTTATTTACTGCACTCTACTGCACTCTACTGCACTCTACTGCGTTTATTTACTGCACTCTACTGCACTCTACTGCGTTTATTTACTGCACTCTACTGCACTCTACTGCGTTTATTTACTGCACTCTACTGCGTTTATTTACTCCACTCTACTGCGTTTATTTACTGCACTCTACTGCGTTTCTGTACTGCACTCTACTGCGTTTATTTACTGCACTCTACTGCACTCTACTGCGTTTCTGTACTGCACTCTACTGCAATCTACTGCGTTTATTTACTGCACTCTACTGCGTTTATTTACTCCACTCTACTGCGTTTATTTACTGCACTCTACTGCGTTTATTTACTGCACTCTACTGCGTTTATTTACTGCACTCTACTGCGTTTATTTACTACACTCTACTGCACTCTACTGCGTTTATTTACTGCACTCTACTGCGTTTCTGTACTGCACTCTACTGCACTCTACTGCGTTTATTTACTGCACTCTACTGCGTTTATTTACTGCACTCTACTGCGTTTATTTACTGCACTCTACTGCACTCTACTGCGTTTATTTACTGCACTCTACTGCGTTTATTTACTGCACTCTACTGCACTCTACTGCGTTTATTTACTGCACTCTACTGCACTCTACTGCGTTTATTTACTGCACTCTACTGCACTCTACTGCGTTTATTTACTACACTCTACTGCGTTTATTTACTGCACTCTACTGCGTTTATTTACTGCACTCTACTGCACTCTACTGCGTTTATTTACTGCACTCTACTGCACTCTACTGCGTTTATTTACTGCACTCTACTGCGTTTATTTACTGCACTCTACTGCGTTTATTTACTGCACTCTACTGCGTTTCTGTACTGCACTCTACTGCACTCTACTCTGTTTATTTACTCCAATCTAGCACATATCGGTTCATCGTTCATCATGTTATCGTCATGATGCACTTCATAGTTATCAAGACTTTCAGTACGTATATATTTAAATAGAATATATTTAATCAGCTGTAGTTAATTATAAGTTTCTGATCAGACTCTATATCAGCAGATAATCAATATTAAAGGACGTCATCGGGATCGGGGCCAAAAGCACCTTAAACAGTAAAGCTGTCCCCTGAACCTGCAACAGGACCCCTGAGATCTACAGCTGGGATGAATCCAGTGTCGTATTGATTATCTGACCAATCCATCAACCACGGCATCATTATCAGAGGTCATATATCAGTTTGACTGTTATCGATAACACACACACACACACACTTGTTTCATCCTCTCACTGTCGGCAACGTAGCATCTCTATGGTAACCGCCTGCAGAGAGGCGGAGCCCGGCATGAAACGCCCACTGCAGCATGCATCTCTTCCACACACACACAGTGTATTTTAGTAAATGTGACCACAGTCTGGGTCGTGCAGCTTCAGCATCTTAAATTACAGCCGTTTCCTGCAGCAGCCGCTCGTCTTCATGAGTTTTAACACAAAGGTTTCATCTGAAAACAGCGTTTCTCTCTGCGTGTTTCCTTCTCTCCTTTAGAAACAGATGAATCTGACTTCGTCTCCTCTTTGTTTCATAAAAGCTTCAGTTCAGGAGAAACAACAACATCTCCGAGGCTAAATATGTCTTCACGGCCTACATTTACAGTGTGTGTGAGTTTAGGGTTGATTTACAGTAACAGTACAGGCTGATACTCAAACAGGAAGAGTTCTTCTATAATTGATATATATTTATGAACCTCTTTACCTTTCTTTTTGTAATTATAATGTATTTTATTATATAAAACATTATTAGTATTAATGTATTTCAGATGTCTCTAAAGCACATTTTAATAAATTGAAATGTAGGAATATATTAGTAAGTTAGTTAGTTATTAGTAAATGTTTGTTGCAACATATGACTTTTGTAAATAATTTTTATTGACAACAAAGAAAAACGACAATGCATTTACGAGTGAAAATAAAAAAAACGGGAAACAATAATAACAGAATGTTAAAGGGGGGGGTACAAATAGTAGTTACATAAAGACCCACAAATCAGTTCTACATATTACAAACAGCTTAGATTGACAAACAACAATAACTTGGTTCTTTAAGTCTTTAACAAAAGTGACAGCAGCGGACGAATTGTTGATTGTTCGAGATGCTTCATCATGAAACGTGGCTGTAGCACGCCCCAGCATTAAAATATCTAAGAAGAAGAATTGCCAGACAGATCAACATGTGACTTTTTGTAATAAAGTCAAAGATCAGAAAGTTTCATCTCATCAAAATAAACTTGATCACAGGTTTTGAGTTTTGTCTCTTTTGAGGGAGCTATGCTACATTTTCCCTCTGCTTTCAGTCTTTGTGCTAAGCTATGCTAAACACATCCTTGAAGCACAAAGATGAAACTGATTTCCATCTTTTCTGTGAGATTTAAAGGAAACATTTCTGATATTAAACAGACGCGAAGCAGCAGAGACCTGTGTGTGTGTGTGTGTGTGTGTGTGTGTGTGTGTGTGTGTGCAAATTGCTTGCAGCCATATATTTAAATGTGTGTAATGATGTGTAATTGTTAATTTATATGTGTGCTTGTCTACAGCTCTGTACGCATTCACTTTAGCTCTTCAGTCTGTGATTTCACACAAGTTTTTCACATTAAAAGCTTCCAGCAGCATAATATTTCTTTATCACTGGAGCGTGTTTACTGTTTAACAGCTACAGGAATTAAAAAGTAAATATGACTGATGTTGTCATACTGATGGAATTAGTTCTGTGGAAATGTGCTTTATACTGAATTTATCACATTAAACTTAAATCAGCCACCTCTCAGTGGACTTTATCAGAGACAGGCCTCGTTTTAGCTTCTAAAACGCTGACGTTATGTTCAAGTACAGTCTGTAAAACTAACCTCTCTGTCTGTCCGTGTCTCTCTGTAGAAACCCTGCTGGATGACTTCATGTTGACACATCCCATCTTCCTGACGGTGGACAGGTTACAGCAAGTCCTGCTGCAGCAGTATCCTTCATTCACATGCACAAATACTTGACAGGCTGAGTGCGCCCACCGCGCTGTCTGCATGACTGCGCACTAGAGGAAAACATGGACGTCCAAATACATGTGTGTGTTTGACAGTAGAGTCCTCTGTCTGTCCCAGCGTACCTCTGGGTATTCACAGTCTGATTTCATTTAGTGTATCTCTGTCTGTGACTCCAGGCTGGTTATCGGTCTAACGTGACTGGGAAACACAGTCTTGGTAGTTTCCCTGTTGTAGCTGCAGGTTTGTGTTTCCCCTGCTGACTGCCTGCAGGCTCTGGCTTCAGACTCGGCCCCACCTTCTTCTGCAGGGTGCGGACTACAGGGGGGCCAGGGGGAGCTTGGCTCCTCTTAGGATACATCCACACTCCTACGTTTTAAAACACAGCTCTTCTGCTACGTTTCCGCCTCCCGTCCAGACTAAAACGACGAGTCCTCCTTACGCCGAAGTTTGAAAACGCTGCCGGGCCCGTTTGGTTTTAAACTCTGGTTCGTGCGGACAGGTGAAAACAGATGACTTTAGAAACGATAACGCAGACGCTCACGTTTGGCTTCTGATTGGCTCTCATCAGTCACGCAAAGCAGACGCACGATGCTACTGACAGAGTTTTAGGGCCCGTGTCCACCAAAGCGTTTTTTTACCAGCTGAAAACGCCAAACTGGGAGCACTAGGGTGCGCTTTGGAGGCGCAGCGGGGGGTTTTTTCAAGACGCTGTGGTTGCTATGATACATAATATCCGTGGAGGTGATGTGTTGCAAGTAGGCTAGCTAATTTTACTGTGTAGAAAATAGGCCGACTTGCTCCGCATGAAGAGAAGGCTGAAACATAAGGACAGATTCTCTGTACGTGGGCACGTGGTTTCTTTCAAGATCGTATGTGCTCCTCCTGCACTGTGATTGGACGTCTGGGTAAAAGTGATGGGCGCAGCGTTTTTCCCAAAGTTGAACATTTTTCAACTCTCGGCAACCAGAAAAAAAGACGCTCAGCGCCTCGTCACACTTTTATCAGGTTGTAAAAATCCCCCATTGCAAAGAATTTTTAAAAAACGCCTTGGTGGAACCGGGGCCTTAGTTTTGGTGTTTTTATTAAAATATGTTGTGCTGTGTAAATAACACTTATACACTTGTGCTGTGCATGACTCCCAGTCTTTTTCCCGTGTTACTCTCAGTAACAGTTCCACCTCGCTGTCGCTCCGTGCAGAGAAATCTCTGCTGTGCTTTTACTTTCTTATGTTGCCAAACACGTCGGGCTGTCCCCAACTACGTTACATTTACTCATCCAGCTGACGCTTTTATCCAAAGCCATTGCTTTATATGTCATTGGAGCAACGACGGGGTCTTGCTCAGGGACACATTGGTGGATGAGGTCACAGTTGCAATCCAATCGGGGTCTCTCACACCAAACGCATGTGTCTTGTCCACTGCTCCATCGCAACCCACCACAGTAACACAAACTAACCGACTGAGGCAGCGGAAGACCACCAGCCCATGTGTTCTGATTAGAGCGATATATAAAAAAGGTCAGACGCACGCCAACACGCACTCTTTAGTGATTACGCTGCAGCCCTGATTCACTGTAGTGCACTCGCTCAATACTGAAACAACGTCAAAACATATTCCATGCTAGGAGAAATACCAAAACTGCCCTTTTAAGTGGGGAAAACAGCATTTCTTCTAGTTAAATGATCAATAAATGATAATAAGATTATCAGGTTCTGTTTCAGTAAAGCCGGTGAGTCAGATCAGTACAGGCTGAACTCTAAGCTGCTCTGATGAAACTCCGTGGGCAGATGTTAACACTGATCAGAAGCAGGAAACAGGAAAGGACCTTGTGCATCGATAACGTGAGACAGGTGCATCAGAGGTGGGCGAGTAGCTCAAAAGCTGCGAAGAAACTCCCGCAAACTGTCTAACAAGCAAAAATAAGTTCATAAGCTGCAGCGTTTTGGGTACTCCATACCGAGAAGCCATCTTCTGTAAACACAAGTTGTGTTTATTATCATACTTCTTTTATTTATCTTGGTGTATAACGTACGAGCAAGATTTAACTATGAATGCGTTTTATTATTATTTTTGGTTTGCATTCACTATAGAGAAATCTCCATCTATAGTGATGGAAACATGAATGAAGTCGCCTCCTACAGAAGATGGCTTCTCAGTGTGGAACACCATTTGCCTGACGAAGGTCTAGCACTGAAACGTTGCCAGCTGATGAGGTTATTTTTACAAGTTAGACAGTGTGCGGGAGTTTCTTCCACCGATCGAAGCGACAGCAGCACGCAGAGTGAATAATTAACAGACTGAAAACTGCATCAGTGCAGACAGAGTCCACGTTTCAGCTGCGGCGTCGTTTAAAATGCTAATGAATCTGTGTTTTCTTTTTCTCTGCACTGACGGTGATAGTCGTCCACTTTAATACTCCCCCACACAGAAAGAGAGGGAGAGAGAGAGAGCTGGAGGGAGGAAGAGGAGGAGGAGGAGGAGAGGAAGGAGAGCACAGAGGGATGTGGGCGGAAAAGAAGAGTGGGAGGGATGGACGGAGAGAAACACTCGTCTTCATCTGCTCGTTCTTACTTTTCAGAGAAAAAACTAAACGGAGACATCATCATCTTCTCTCGTCGTCTTCGATCCTGAACGCTGCAAACACAAACATGCAGAAACTAATATTCAGATATTTTAACAAAAGAAAACAATCAAACAGAACAAAGTAGATAAACGTGGCACAAAAGGGAGGAATTGTATTTTCAAGGAATATATAAAATGTTAACAGTAAATCCATTTGTTTCAGCTCCAAACATTAGACTTCCTGCTTCCATTCCCAAAGCATTATGGGAATTGTGGTTCCAAATCTGAGACCATGATCATCCCAAATAGTTAAGACGTTAAGCATTTTAAGTATATAGTTTTTGAGACCGTAAAATCTCCGAACGTTAATGTCGGCGCCCTCGTCAGGCCGCTGCGTGTGCTGCATCCAGCAAGAGAGAGGCAGCTGTGTGTGCGTGTGCGGTGATATGTGGGTCAACATGGCGGCGTCTCTGACTCTTTGTAGTTTCTCATCAGAGCTGCTCTCTGAGGCTGAGACACTGAACTATTTATAAATCGGCCTGATTCCACATGTTTAGATGCTTTTTAGATCTCGATTGGTTTGATTTGTCACGTGTCGGCCGGCTGGTTTACTTGTTAACGTGTGAAAATGAAGCAATGAAATAAAAGATGAGCTTTTCTGTGTTTTCCAGTTCAGGAGTTTAAATGTCAGTTCTTCCTCCTTAACTGAAACTTCCCCAGATTCACTCTGGAGACAGAGGAGAAGGAGGGAGAGGGGGGAGGGGGGGAGGCAGAGGGTGAGAGGAGAGCGAGGGGAGGAGGAGGAGGAGAGAAGGAGGGAGAGGGGCTGATGGACGGAGCGGAGAGGAAGCAGGCGGTGCTGAACGTAGCGTTTCGATACCTGGACACCTACAGAGAGCTGCTGCAGGAGGAGGGCGAGCGCAGCAACAGCTTCCCCAAGGTAACACACACACTGTGCTACACAACATATACACACTGTGCTACACAACATATACACACTGTACTACACAACACACCACACACACATATACACACTGTACTACACAACATATACACACTGTACTACACAACATATACACACTGTACTACACAACATATACACACTGTGCTACACAACATATACACACTGTGCTACACAACATATACACACTGTACTACACAACATATACACACTGTACTACACAACATATACACACTGTACTACACAACATATACACACTGTACTACACAACACACCACACACACATATACACACTGTACTACACAACATATACACACTGTACTACACAACACACCACACACATATACACACTGTACTACACAACATATACACACTGTACTACACAACATATACACACTGTACTACACAACATATACACACTGTACTACACCACACACCACACACACATATACACACTGTACTACACAACATATACACACACACTGTACTACACAACACACCACACACACATATACACACTGTACTACACAACATAACACACACACATATACACACTGTACTACACAACATATACACACTGTACTACACAACATATATACACTATACTACACAACATATACACACTGTACTACACAACAGCCGATATTTAGATTTGGAGAATGATTTGGAGCTGGTCTGTATGTGGGCTATAAAACCTTTTCCTAAATGCATTATGTCATAAAATAGATTACAGTAAACAACTGCTCATCAATAAATATTTGTTGCTGGAAGGTGCAACTGTTTCAGCCGTCTGTAAACACAGAGAGAATAAACAATCCAGCACATTCACATCCAGACGATCTCTTTACCTGCACTCTTCTAACCAAAGCTACGAGAAACCGTTTCTCATCATCTGTCTAAATCACGCCGTCTATGAAACAGTGAGCTGCTGCTGAATGCATCTAATACAACGTGACTCTCTACAACGAGGACCTGCAGCTTTGAGAGTTCATTTAACTAACGTTATAACAACCAGAGACTGCAGCGTCACACAGAGAGGAGCTACAGGAAGCCGTGTTAGATTCTTGTTCAGCTCACGTTTATTTACAGCTCCGGTTTAATCACTGCAGACACGCAGACTAACTGCAGACAGGCGGCTCGCAGATGTATTTAGAATACACCAGAAACTATAGTGTAACGGTTCATTAGCGCTCCTCCACTGATAAACACGGCATTAGCTTTGTGGCTAATTTAGCAACGGGCAGTGTTAGCTGCTGTAACGTTACGTGATTTTAGAGAATATTTAGAAGTGATGAACTAGAGACAAATGTGGACCGTTCACTAGAAGTGCCACACTGTTTGAAATAAATCTACAATCACGTCTGTCAGCAGCTTCCGACACCCAACTACTGTAACATTAACCTGCGGTGAGCCGAGAGGAAGCCGGGGGAGGGCAGCGAAAACGGGAGGGTTAGCAAGTCATGAATGTTTTCAGGAGAAGTGACTGGGTCTGTTTTTATTATAGTTATTTAAGTCATGTAATTAACATGATCATGGACTGACTTACCGACTCATTGTTTTCTTCTGTGGTTTTTGTGGTGAGGCAGTGTTGTTAACAGGGGAGCTGCAGCTGCAGCGCCTTCTGGTGGGCAAACTATGCAGCACCCATGACATGAGTGAAGGATTTGAATCTGTTTCTTTTTTAATTGTCATATATCTGCTGTTATAATCGGCCGATGACGATTAAATGCAATTAGCTCATATCGGCCGATAAATCGGTCAGGCTCTGCTTCATACACACTATACACACAATACACAACATAACACAGACAGACATACACAACATAACACACATTATACACACAATACACACACACTGTAATGTACACCTAATACACAACAGAACAAACTGTAATACACACATAATACACAACGTAACACACAGTCTGAGTGTGCGTCCTCACTGGCTTCCTGATAACAGACCCTGAGGAAAACGACTGAGTTACAGATCAGATCCTGTCAAACAGAAAGAAAAAGAAAAACAGCAGAAGTTCCCGTTAACGTCTCCTTATCTCCACACACACACACACACACACACACACACACACACACACACATGTGCTAACAGCTCTGCAGGGCGGGAACTGTTGTTTTTGTTTTTTGGCGCCTTGTTTCTGGGATGTTCAGGGTTGTCACAGCAACGGGAGACGGGTTCAGCTCAGCACACGCCTCGTTACACCCACGTATCTTTTATCAGTGAAAAACGTAAAGCTGGACTAAAAACCTGTGTGTGCGTGTGTGTGTGTGTGTTTGTGTGTGTGTGTGTGTGCATGTGTGTGCGTGCGTGTGCATGTGTGTGCGTGTAGGAGCTGTACATGTGTGCGGTCCAGGAGTTGAGTCGGTATCCTGAGCTGGTGGAGGACGTCCTCAAACTGCAGAGATGGACCGAGATCTTACACTGCCCGTAAGACACACACACACCCTGGTGTTTTGATTCGTCAGCGGCCTCACGGCTTGTTCGTTGCTATTGGTCACCCCAAGTCAAGTCTGTCACACATGATGTTTGTAAACGACGTGATTATCATATTTTTCCCATGTATTTATCATATACCTGTCAAATATTAATGAAATATCTATTAGCTACTTCCTCATGTGTCACATATAATTTATTATTTGCTCATGTATTTATTGCATAATGTTCTTTGTAAAGTTGCCTGTAGATGTTATTTATGGTTTAATTTTTATTATTGCAGACGTCAGTTGTTGTTGTTTAATAAAAAATATCGAAGCTAATTGCTGATACTTAAACTTCTAACAATAATTTGATTGATTTATGACTTAATGTTTCGAGTTAAGCAACAAGTTAATCTGTTTAAATTATTTCTGTCTTTGTGTGTTTAGCTCGAATGAGGAGAAGGAAAGCAGGAAGAAGCAGGTTCGTCCTCTGTTCAGACACTTCAGACGCATCGACGCCTGTCTGCAGCCCAGGGAGGCGTTCAGGGGCTCCGACGAGAGTACGACACACTGAAACCCAACGCACACACACACACACACACACGTGCATGGACAGAAATACCAAAGCTTCACTACGCTGTATTATCTGTAAACACACATCTGAAATGCAAACACACCTGCAGCCTGAGGTCTGGATATACAAATCACAATCTGACACACCCAGGACACACACACACACACACACACACACACACACACACACACAGTTGCCACAAATCCAGGACTTGTTTAACATAGCTTAGCACAAAGACTGAGAGCACTGTTAGCCTAGCTTCATCAAAAGAAAATAATAAATCCACCTTCCAAGGCTGTCTGATTTACATGTTGTATCTTGTTAGCTAACAACACATTCTGTAGTCAGCTTGTTTTAATTGAGCAGAGTCAGGGGTCAAGACCTAGAAGCTAAATATTAGCTAGGCACACTCTGAAGCTAGCTCTAAGCTAAGGAGAGGCTAACGCTAATCTACTGTAATGGGACCTAGGAGCTAACTGTATGCTAAAAGAACCCAAAAGTTAACTTAATTGAAACTGTATGACTCGTGTATTTTTACCATGTATATATGACAAATGCAATGATACTCATAATCTTACCTATCAGACAGGAAGCACAGGGTCTTGGAACATGAAGTAAAAAGCTAACTTTAGGCTAATAGAACATAGAAGCTAAAGCTTAAGTAATAGGAGCTACAAGCTAAACCTAAACTAAAGAAGCTAAATCAAAACTAATGAACCTAGAAGCTAAATCTAAACTAATTGGACCTAGAAGCTAACTGTAAGCTAATAGCACCTAGAGGCTAAATCTAAACTAACAGGCGCTAGAAGCTAAATCTAAACTAATGGGACTCCTAGGCTAAATCTTTACTGATGGAAGCTAAACCTAAACTAAAGGGACCTAGAAGCTAACTGTAAGCTAATAGCACCTAGAGGCTAAATCTAAACTAATAGGACCTAGAATCTAACTTTAAGCTAATAGAACATAGAAGTTAAAACTAAACTAACAGGCGCTAGAAGCTAAATCTAAACTAATGGGACTCCTAGGCTAAATCTTTACTGATGGAAGCTAAACCTAAACTAAAGGGACCTAGAAGCTAACTGTAAGCTAATAGCACCTAGAGGCTAAATCTAAACTGATGGTGGCTAAATCTAAACTAATTGGACCTAGAAGCTAACTGTAAGCTAATAGCACCTAGAGGCTAAATCTAAACTGATGGAGGCTAAATCTAAACTAATTGGACCTAGAAGCTAACTGTAAGCTAATAGCACCTAGAGGCTAAATCTAAACTAACAGGCGCTAGAAGCTAAATCTAAACTAATTGGACTCCTAGGCTAAATCTTTACTGATGGAAGCTAAACCTAAACTAAAGGGACCTAGAAGCTAACTGTAAGTTAATAGCACCTAGAGGCTAAATCTAAACTGATGGAGGCTAAATCTAAACTAATTTGACCTAGAAGCTAACTGTAAGCTATTAGCGCCTAGAGGCTAAATCTAAACTAACAGGCGCTAGAAGCTAAATCTAAACTAATGGGACTCCTAGGCTAAATCTTTACTGATAGAAGCTAAACCTAAACTAAAGGGACCTAGAAGCTAACTGTAAGCTAATAGCACCTAGAGGCTAAATCTAAACTGATGGAGCCTAAATCTAAACTAATTGGACCTAGAAGCTAACTGTAAGCTAATAGCACCTAGAGGCTAAATCTTTACTGATAGAAGCTAAACCTAAACGAAAGGGACCTAGAAGCTAACTGTAAGCTAATAGTACCTAGAGGCTAAATCTAAACTAATAGAAGCTAAATCTAAACTAATTTGACCTAGAAGCTAATTGTAAGCTATTAGCACCTAGAGGCTAAATCTAAACTAACAAGCGCTAGAAGCTAAATCTAAACTAATGGGACTCCTAGGCTAAATCTTTACTGATGGAAGCTAAACCTAAACTAAAGGGACCTAGAAGCTAACTGTAAGCTAATAGCACCTAGAGGCTAAATCTAAACTGATAGAAGCTAAATCTAAACTAAAGGGATCTAGAAGCTAACTGTAAGCTAATAGTACCTAGAGGCTAAATCTAAACTAATAGAAGCTAAATCTAAACTAATTGGACCTAGAAGCTAATTGTAAGCTATTAGCACCTACAGGCTAAATCTAAACTAATAGGACCTAGAAGCTAACTTTAAGCTAATAGAACATAGAAGTTAAAACTAAACTAACAGGCGCTAGAAGCTAAATCTAAACTAATTGGACTCCTAGGCTAAATCTTTACTGATGGAAGCTAAACCTAAACTAAAGGGACCTAGAAGCTAACTGTAAGTTAATAGCACCTAGAGGCTAAATCTAAACTGATGGAGGCTAAATCTAAACTAATTGGACCTAGAAGCTAACTGTAAGCTAATAGCACCTAGAGGCTAAATCTAAACTAACAGGCGCTAGAAGCTAAATCTAAACTAATGGGACTCCTAGGCTAAATCTTTACTGATGGAAGCTAAACCTAAACTAAAGGGACCTAGAAGCTAACTGTAAGCTAATAGCACCTAGAGGCTAAATCTAAACTGATAGAAGCTAAATCTAAACTAAAGGGATCTAGAAGCTAACTGTAAGCTAATAGTACCTAGAGGCTAAATCTAAACTAATAGAAGCTAAATCTAAACTAATTGGACCTAGAAGCTAATTGTAAGCTATTAGCACCTACAGGCTAAATCTAAACTAATAGGACCTAGAAGCTAACTTTAAGCTAATAGAACATAGAAGTTAAAACTAAACTAACAGGCGCTAGAAGCTAAATCTAAACTAATTGGACTCCTAGGCTAAATCTTTACTGATGGAAGCTAAACCTAAACTAAAGGGACCTAGAAGCTAACTGTAAGTTAATAGCACCTAGAGGCTAAATCTAAACTGATGGAGGCTAAATCTAAACTAATTGGACCTAGAAGCTAACTGTAAGCTAATAGCACCTAGAGGCTAAATCTAAACTAACAGGCGCTAGAAGCTAAATCTAAACTAATGGGACTCCTAGGCTAAATCTTTACTGATGGAAGCTAAACCTAAACTAAAGGGACCTAGAAGCTAACTGTAAGCTAATAGCACCTAGAGGCTAAATCTAAACTAATAGGACCTAGAATCTAACTTTAAGCTAATAGAACATAGAAGTTAAAACTAAACTAACAGGCGCTAGAAGCTAAATCTAAACTAATGGGACTCCTAGGCTAAATCTTTACTGATGGAAGCTAAACCTAAACTAAAGGGACCTAGAAGCTAACTGTAAGCTAATAGCACCTAGAGGCTAAATCTAAACTGATGGTGGCTAAATCTAAACTAATTGGACCTAGAAGCTAACTGTAAGCTAATAGCACCTAGAGGCTAAATCTAAACTGATGGAGGCTAAATCTAAACTAATTGGACCTAGAAGCTAACTGTAAGCTAATAGCACCTAGAGGCTAAATCTAAACTAACAGGCGCTAGAAGCTAAATCTAAACTAATGGGACTCCTAGGCTAAATCTTTACTGATGGAAGCTAAACCTAAACTAAAGGGACCTAGAAGCTAACTGTAAGCTAATAGCACCTAGAGGCTAAATCTAAACTGATGGTGGCTAAATCTAAACTAATTGGACCTAGAAGCTAACTGTAAGCTAATAGCACCTAGAGGCTAAATCTAAACTGATGGAGGCTAAATCTAAACTAATTGGACCTAGAAGCTAACTGTAAGCTAATAGCACCTAGAGGCTAAATCTAAACTAACAGGCGCTAGAAGCTAAATCTAAACTAATGGGACTCCTAGGCTAAATCTTTACTGATGGAAGCTAAACCTAAACTAAAGGGACCTAGAAGCTAACTGTAAGCTAATAGCACCTAGAGGCTAAATCTAAACTAATAGGACCTAGAAGCTAACTGTAAGCTAATAGAACATAGAAGTTAAAACTAAACTAACAGGCGCTAGAAGCTAAATCTAAACTAATGGGACTCCTAGGCTAAATCTTTACTGATGGAAGCTAAACCTAAACTAAAGGGACCTAGAAGCTAACTGTAAGCTAATAGCACCTAGAGGCTAAATCTAAACTGATGGTGGCTAAATCTAAACTAATTGGACCTAGAAGCTAACTGTAAGCTAATAGCACCTAGAGGCTAAATCTAAACTGATGGAGGCTAAATCTAAACTAATTGGACCTAGAAGCTAACTGTAAGCTAATAGTACCTAGAGGCTAAATCTAAACTAATGGGACTCCTAGGCTAAATCTTTACTGATGGAAGCTAAACCTAAACTAAAGGGACCTAGAAGCTAACTGTAAGCTAATAGCACCTAGAGGCTAAATCTAAACTGATGGAGGCTAAATCTAAACAAATTGGACCTAGAAGCTAACTGTAAGCTAATAGAAACTAGAAGCCAAAGCTAAGGTTTGTGTGTACTTGTGTGTCCAGTCTTCTGCAGGGTCTACACTCCAGATCATTCCTACGTCACCATCCGGAGTCGTCTGTCCTGTCGGGTCGGAGAGATTCTGGCTCTGGTCAGAGAGAAACTCCAGTACAGTGAAGACCAACCAGTCCTGCCCGGAAACCTCATTCTGGTGGCCGTCACATCAGCCGGAGGTCAGACTACAGTCACCGCTTCAGTTTCCACGATGAGCACAATGATTTTCATATCACTGAGCTGTTTCTCTAAATGTTGTTCATGAATGTGTGTTCAGAGAAAGCCGTGTTTCGTCCCAGTGACGAGGCCGTGTTCACCACGCTGGGAGTCAACACTCACCTGTTTGCCTGTGAAGCCTCTGAGCTCGACTCACTGGTGAGGAACTGATTTATTTATTGGTTCACTAATTGAGTGTACAGCAAATGTTGCCAACAAGATAACATAAAAACAGGTTTTCTCGTTTATTAGATTCATCAAAATGAAAAGAAGAAACACAGTCATGTTAAAGTTTTGACACTACCGTTTGGACTACCGTTTTAAAGCCTCCAGTTTGGCATTTTGTCCATCGCCATCTTGTTTTTTTGGAACCAGACGTTATCGTATTTGGAAAAGAGGGGGGAGCTAGCTAGCTTGGTTAGCGTGGTGCATCTGTAATTCACGTTAACTGTGATATTAACCGGGATGCTAATTTTGGCTAACAGGTATAAAACAAGATTTACATACCTGAAAAAGGAACAGCTGACTTCTAATAAGCCTCTATCCTGATTAACAGGTCGTCATGGTAGCGACTTGTCAATCAGCTTGTAGCCCCGCCCTAAAGCCTCCCCTGCTTTCTGGTCTCTGTTCCTCTAAACGGGACCATAATTTACTAAATGAACATCATGCTGTGTTGAAGAAGACTTGAAACTAGCGACTGAGACCATAAACTCATTAGGAAAGTGGAGTTGCCCCCTGCAGGCCTGGAGGGTTTCTACTGTTCTGCCCCCTGCAGGCCTGGGGGGTTTATTGCCTCCAGAGGGAGCAGGTCGTGTTTTATAACGGTTTGGTTTCCTGCACCCTCAGCTTCCTCTTCCTGAGGAGATCCACTGGACGCCGGGTGACAGCAAACTCCACGACATGTCAGCGGAGGAGGTGGCCAATCAGCTGGTGGTGTTTGACTGGGAGCTCTTCAGCTGCGTGCACGAGGTCAGTAAATCCGGATTCTGTTACTCTCTATCATGTAGAATTTTAAATACAAACAAAAACTGAAAAACTCGGCTCCCTACAATACGCCATACGTGACGTTATACTTGACTCTGTGACTCCTTAAGTTATAGGGGTGGGCGTTCTTGTAGCAGAGTGTATATACTGTAAAACTTCAATTAAAAGCAGAGTCTCAAATTGCCGCCTGTCCCCTTTACTGGCCTGGTGTAGAAAAAGTTTTTGACAAATAAACGCAGGTCTGGATTTGATGCCTGGTCGGAGTTTTTATAGAAGTTCTATTTATAAAACCTCTTAAAGCCCGCCGGGTCGCCTGTTTTAGCTGCTTCGAAGCTGCAAATATAAATGTTTAAGTACATCAAATAAATAAATACAGCAAATAAAAGCCGGGATATTAAAATTTACTTTATTTAAAAAATTTTTTATGGTAGATATATTTTATATCTTGGTAACGGTATATATCATAGTACAGTAATTGTTCTGTAAATTCAATTAAGTAATGGTTTAAAATAACTAGAGCCGCAACAATTAATTAATTGGCAACTATTTTGATAATCGATTTATCAGTTCAGAGTCCTTTTTTAAGACAAATAAGTTAAATTCTCTGATTCCTAGCGTCTTAAATGTGAACATTTCCTGGTTTCTTTTCTCCTCTGTGACAGTAAACAGAATTTCTATGGGTTATGGCTAAACAAGACCTTTCAGGAGACTTTACAGCTGTTTTGTCTTCTTTGTCGTTGGTGTCTCCTGCAGGTGGAGTTTGTGTGTTACGTGTTTCACGGAGAGCAGTCCCGCTGGCGCCCCCTAAACCTGGAGCTGGTACTGCAGCGCTGCAGCGAGGTGCAGCACTGGGTGGCCACGGAGATCCTGCAGTGTCAGTCGCTGCCAAAGAGGATCCAGCTGCTCCGCAAGTTCATCAAGATCGCAGCGCTGTGAGTGCAGACAGGACGCTGCGTCAGGGAGATCATGCCTTTCCCACCGCATGGTACCAGCTCATCTCGAATCGTCACTTTATGGGCTCCATCCTTTAACGCACTCCTCCTACAGATTTGATCGGATTGTCTTCAAATTGGGGCAAATGGGCAGTGTGATCTAAAGGCATGTGCGATGCCAATTTGCGAAACATTTTAGGATTCATCAAAGGGCGTGTCCGTGGCGTGGCGCTGAATTTTGATGTTTCGCCGTGAAAATGGAAGTAGTATGAAAATGGACAGGACATCAAATCTGTCCCATACTTCACATGTGTTATAAGAATCTCACCGTGGAGACCTCTACACGCCAATATCCAGTCCTAGTTTCGTGCGGCATCGCTATAATGACCAGCTACGTTGAGGGTGGTATTAAATCTGCAATGGAGGATGGGGCACAGTAGGCGAGGCGAGCTGAGCTGGTACCATCAGCGGGTAAGCAGCATAGATCAACTCATGTCATTACAAATGTCTCGTCTCACACAAGAGACCAGATGTTCTTAATGACACGAGCACAGGAGGTACCGGGGATTCTGCTAAAGACATAATCAAACCTGCTGATCAAACAATTAGTCTATTAATCAACTGACAAACAAATAATTTAGCTCCAACAGTTAAATTGTTTTTTGGTATTAATTAAGCACTATAAGGCAGCAGTTTCTCCAGTTATGAGCTGAAGTGCCGCTTTTCTCTGTTTTATATCATTTTAAACTTTTAATCTCTTTGGACTGTCAGTCAAACTTTCTTTTATTTTTATTTTTATTTTTTTTAACCCTTCCATGCTTGACGTCCACTGACAAATCCTTTTATTCTCAGGAAACCAGACCAGTAAAAAAAAAATATTTTTCAACTAAATAAGATGTTAAAAATACTTTGAAATTTTAATGATATATTTCTTCTACGTTTTGTTCTGTGTTTGAAAACACATCTGTCCACTCCAGTGGACGTTCTGCACCAAAGGGTTCATTCTGCCTTGTTTTATGTTTTATTTAAAATTATGACATAGTTTGCGGTTGAATATTTTGATGTATATTAAGACCACTTGCTTTTAGTAAATGTTTTAAAAACATATAGTTTTTTGGACCTACAGTATATTGAGTTCCACTGAATCAAATGCTGTTGATGCACGGTAGACACATTTCAAAATTAAATATATTAGTTTACAGGCATAGTTTTTCACTTGTTTACAAGTAAAAAAAAAACATAAAATGATTACTTTGTGATTTACTAATGTTAGGTTTTATAACATCGGGTCATTGTCTACTTGTTCATCGTATAAAAATGTTTAGAGAGCTGTGAGCAGAGCAGGTGAGCTCATGATACCTTTCTGAGTGACAAAGACTCGACTGTAACAGGCCTCGCCCGCCCGCTCGCTCGCTGCCGTCTGTGTGTGAAGGTTAAATCAGCCGTTCTGTGTTTCAGCTGTAAGCAGCAGCAGGACCTGCTGTCGTTCCTCGCTGTGGTTCTGGGTCTGGACAACCCCGCTGTCAACAGACTGCGACTCACCTGGGAGGTACAGCACTCACCTGACAAGCTCAGCCTTACCTTCATGCAGCCCAACACTCCTCTGAGAGAAACACTGGTCACAGGTGTTTGGAGTCCCTTAACATAAACCTCTGAGCTGAATATTGATTGTTGATGTGAAGGAAAGAAGCTCGGCACAAAGAGGAGAAAACATCTCATCAACATCTGGTCACTTTTAAACAATTAACTGATCGCCTGTTTTAGATTTTCCTCCAGAAATTAATGAATGTCTTAAAGATGTTTTGGGTGGTGTTGATTCTTTTGGTTTTTGTAGCTGTAAATTTGTGACAGTTTAGTTTTCACTGAAAGGTTCCATTGTTTCCTGTGATCTTTAGATTTGGTGACTTGTTTTATTGATGCTATGTGATTTTAAAGTGTCGGACACAGATCTGGCATCCACAGCGCCGACCGATCAATACGCTACAGCGTTACAGTGATCTAACCTGTGTGTGTGTTCAGGGTCTCCCGGGGAAGTTCAGGAAGCAGTTTCAGCAGTTTGAGAGCATCGCGGTGAGTTTCTGATGACGAAAGTCACCGTCCTCATCATCACTGAGCTTGTTGAACTGATGCTGATGTGATCACAGGGTTGGGTATCGAAAACCGGTTCCAGGTTAGATACGGTACCAAATACCAAGAACCATAATTTGGACAAGACCCGTGCGTTTGCGGTTCCTAATTTCCTGCATATCTCAGCTCCTGACTGAACGGCAGTGAGCATTTTACTTTCCATCAAAGTGTCTCTGATCTGCCAGGAGCTGCTACGCCGACCTAACATCACCTCATTTGTTACGTCAACAAAGCCTGAAGAAGAGAGTCCTTCTGTTTCCAGTCCTGGACCGTGGCGGACCGCAGCAAACGCTCCAAAGTTTGGCTCAGCTTCGCTAAAAAAAGAGAACGACGCAGCAAAATGCAACAGCTGCAGTAAAGGAGGTTTGGTGCGAGGCAGGAAGCAGCTCTGACACGACGAAGCGTTTCCTTCAACACGGTGTAAATCTGAAGGAACGCTTCACCGTGGTCAACGTGTCGCGCTCTCCCAGCTACAGCTAACGCTAACAGTACCAGCATCTCATGCTGAATCGAATTGAAACGATACCCAGCCCTTTGTGACGAGTTGTCGGAGGTCAAACCATCGACAGACACAAGCATCATGTCAAGGAAACTTAATAAATGATTCTGCTCTTTGGGATTGAAAATAAAAAGGAATATGATTGATATGTATTGATCTGAACCTATAGGACCCCTCCAGGAACCATAAGTCCTACAGAGACCTGATCACCAGCCTGAGACCTCCACTGATCCCCTTCACACCTCTGCTGCTCAAAGGTGAGGCCGTGACGTGAATGCTGAGGTTGGTTTAGTTTTCTCCTCTTCATCAGCTCCGTTAGGGAACCAAACAGGATCCTGCTGAGGTTTTGCCTCTGACGGTCTTGTTGTCCCTTGAGAGTCTCCTGAAACAGAATCAAGGACTAAACCACCTCAACAAGACTTTGATTCTGGGTCATCAGTTCATTCCTGGATCATTTAGAAATCTTCAGTTCATCCTCTGAGACTGTTTGTCCTCCAGCTGTGGACCCAGATGTGAAGCCGCCGCAGACATGTTAGCACGTTAGCTGCACCTCGCTAATTAGCACTTCTGGCTAATCAGCTCCATGTTACTGTTAACCTGCCACACACACACACACACACACACACACACACACACACACACACACACACACACAGTCAGTCACTTCAAAGACTCTACTCTTCATCCCGTTTTCTTTTCATCTCGTCTTCAACTGCACTCATTCAACCCAGCAGGCGTTCACATGCACGCGCACACACACGCACACACACACACACACGCGCACACACACACACACACACACACACACACACACACACACACACTTCTGCTTTCACTCGTTCAGTTTCAAAAGACTTTAAATGAGATTACTGTACACACTGTACGCCGTGTGTGTGTGTGTGCAGCCTTAAGCTCTCTGTCTCCATGGTAACACATCCATGAAGACATGATGAGGGAGGAAAGGATGGAAATGAAGTGGTTAAAAAGAGAAAGAAAGAAAGAAAGAAAGAAGGGATTAATTTTGACGCTATAATTAGAAGATTTCAGTCTCAGCTGCGCCCTGTGGTGAGAAAAAGAACTGCGCCAAAATGGATTTTCAGCGTCAGTAATCAGTTTGTTGGGGCTGAAATGGCAAATGCTCCACACGTATATACGTAGCGCCTTTCTAGTCTTTCTGACCACTTTACCCCGCTTTGCCACTACATCACACGAGTCCACCTGCGTCGCGTTAGGGCTGAACGACACAGAGAATCCGGTCATTTTTCAAAATTAAACACCCTGTGCAGAGTCCTGATTGTAAATCATCAATGAACACAGTTAACGCAGACAAAAAAAGAAACCATTTAAAGAGGTCATAATCTTTTTCCCTCTCCTTTATTGAGTTCTAAACCTTTTTTGTGCATGTAACAGGTTTGCAAAGTGAAACAGCCCAAAGGGAGTTCCCATCTCGCACAGAAAACTCTGCTCTGAACTGAAAACAGCTCGTTTGTAGTCCAGCCGCTTCCCTTTCATCCCTGTGACGTCACAGGGATGAAAGCTAAACGCGCCTCATATAACGCTCGCCGAGCGGCTACTCCGACACGCCCTCAGAAACAGCGAGCTGCAGCACACAGCTCTCCTCTCCCTTCCAAACACTAGCTACCCTCCAGGCAGTCAGTGGACATAAAGTTGTTCCTGTGATGTAGAGACAGAGCTCAGTTAAAACTTTATGGATACAGATTAATAACTCACCGCTCTGAAACTCTCGCTCCAGTCCGTGTTGCCGAGCCAGTCGGCAACATGTACGGCTGAACCCGAGCTGTTTACCGGCTTCTCGCTGACCCGCCCTTCTCTGCTTCTGATTGGCTAGTAGTCCTTAACTAGGAACTGAGCATGTGCAACTCCCAACAAAGATCATTTAGAGACAAGATGCATCACTCCATAGCTAAAACGAAGCCTTCAACACAGGCTGAAAAGAGGAGCTGCAGCAATGTGCAGTATGACAAAAATATTAAACCATGTAAACCTGCTCTGGTACAACCTCTAAATAAGACGAGGAACCTGAAAATGAGCAGAATACCACCTCTTTAAGGGTTCAGTGTGTAAGTTTTAGTGGCGTCTAGTGGTGAAAGTTGTGAATTGCAACCCACGGCTCAGTCACCCCTCCCTTTGTAAGCGAGCAGGAGAAGCTACAGTGGCCGACACGCTCTGTCGGCTCTGAGCTAAATAATAAGTGTGGTCCTCCATTTGTCGAAATTTCACTTCTCTTCTTACTTTAATAAACCAAACGACTACCACCGGTGTATGTAGATAGAATTATCTCATGCTAAGGTAATAAAAGCATAACCGTTCATTATGTAAGGTCTTTATACGCCACTGAAAACATAGTTATGTAAATAATATTGCTTTTATGTCAGTAGATCCTCCCAAATACACACTAGACCTTTAACTACGTAGCCTACTTAATGATAGTACGAGCACATAAACTTAGAGGTGTCAGAACATAAAACACAGACTTACAGTCATATTCAAGATTCACAAATACTTACATGTAAAGGTGTAACAGTAAGACAATCTTTTATCTTCTAATTATCTGATGACCTAAATAATAAATAAATGACTAAATATAATCATTTTAAGGACACATGTTCCTTAGCCTTCAGTATTTTTAAACCTGGTCCCTGTTTTCTCGTGTTGAAATGACTGGTAGGTTCAGAAACTGATGGATTAATTAATGAGCTGCTTTGTTTCCCGTTTCTCCGTCAGACTTGACGTTTCTTCACGAGAGCTGTAAGACGTTTCACGGTGAGCTCGTCAACTTCGAGAAGATGGTGAGTGGATCAGTCAGAGTCAGAAGTACCCCCGAAGAACAAGAAAATGCCACTGCAGCTGCAGATTCATTGACATTTAGGCACCATAACTCTTATTTAATTCTTATAGACTATTTAAGATGTTAAGACTTTCTGTACATGACGTGTACGATTTCTTGCATGAGACCCAACAATGTTTGACTGCATAGCGTGAGTTTATAAAGGGGGCAGAGCTCAGATTTGCACAAACAGAAACTAAAACGTGGAAAATCTGGTGAGAAACTTAAAAACACCAACTTTACTGAAGCAGACTGAAACAAATAAATATGAGACGCATCTGTTTCTTCTCTCTTCCTCCTCCTGCAGCATAAAGTGGCAGAGATGGTGAGAATCATCAGACGCTACAGGAGCAGCCAGCTAGGTAACGCACACACACATTATAACATTATGTAATGGTTTCACCTGTTCATGTGTCAATGCTGCGGCTGTGACCTAAAATGAGGCAGAAATAGCACAGAGTTTGGTTGCAGCTTTGCTTCGATTAGTATTCGGGCTTTACTTTTAGTACAGTTAGGAATACTGCAGTAAAAGTATATGAATTGAAAATGTACTTAAATTATATATTGAATGGTTGATTCAGTAATTAAAGAATTTGTACTGGTTGTGTGTGACTAAATAAAGTTTCCTCAACGCGGACAGCGCGCACTGTCCTCCCACAATGCACTGCACAAAGGAAAGAAATACATAAATTATGGGCCCACAAAATCTGGTAAAACTAAAAAGAATGATCAAATCTTAAGAAAAACATTTTGATTTTGATTGTCTCATTTCCTGTTGGTATAAAAAGGTAACGTGTTGATATGTTTGTACACAGAGCGAGTATGTAGTACGTACTGTACTGTACAGAATGAGTATATATATATGTAGTCTGGATTTGTGATACACACAATAAAATGCTTTTATTGTGAAGGAAGGAGCTGCTTCCTAAGCACATGTGTTGAGCTTTGTCTCCATCTGGTGGTGATATTGTGTCACTGCACCAATTCATAATAGATTTAAGGATGGATTTAAAATCTCTTACATCCCTGTTTCTCTGTGTCACCTGGTAGCCATGGATACAGAGACGTCCCCCTCCCACCTGCAGACGAAGGCCTACGTCCGTCAGTTACAGGTGATCGACAACCAGAACCTGCTGTTCGACATGTCCTGCAAACTGGAGCCCAAAGACACATAGAGGAGACAGCTGAGGTTGGTGAGGACGAGAAAGAGACTGAAAATGAAGAGGAGGAGGAGGAAGACGACGATCAGACGCCTCTGTTCAAGCAATTCGTGTCCAGAAACAACAAAGACAAGGAGGGAAAAGCGATGGAAGGAGTGAAAACCTACAACCTCTTCGTCCTCGTCGACCTGAGACAAACAAAAACAAATACAACAGACGTTCTTGATAAGCAGAGGAGGAGGCGGAGCTTCTTCACCTCCTTCATCCACGAGCTTGACTGTCCATAGACTTTTACTGCACCTCCACCTGCCGCTCCTCCTCCCTCGTCCCTCCATCAGCAGCCGTCCAGGCCGCCACGCTGCCACAACCCTCACGTCCACTAACACACAGAGACGCGCGGTGGGAAACGTTTTTCAGTGAAGCAGAGTTTGCTTCAGCGACAGATCGTCGTCGTTCTTGCGGGATCCATTGTTGAGACGTTCGGAAAGGTCTTCTGTGAGTACTCTGCGAAGACAGACTGAAGACAATCGGCCGTAACTCAGCAGCCTTCAAACTGGATCCTAACATACAGCCGTGTGAGCAAACGGTGCCTTTAGATGATAAAACAGTTTCAGTGAAGCATTAGTGCTTTTCTTTTTAAATCCTTTTTTATTCAAGACAAGAGAATCAATAAAGTCTCGTACTTAATTGATTCAACAGTCCAACAAACAGTTTGAAATAGGGATGTCACGATACTAGACATTTAGCAGTCGATACCAATACCCGTGAAAAACCACGGTAAAAAACTAAACAATAACTTCCATCATGAACGTACGCTCCTTTAATAAAACATTTGAACGTTACAAAAAACAACTAACAGCTGTGAAAGTTGTGGGAGGACGTTCAGGACGTACGAGAGGTGGTTTGATGTCAATATATTCATGAATGAAACTCATAATCAAACTCACAGGTGTGAAATGTTTAAGTGTGGTTTGAGATTTCTATGTTGAAATGCATCGAGTTGCCCCTTTCAGACGGCCCCTAACTCCTCCCACAGTAACAGGAGCGTTCTTCGCGCTGCAAGCTGCATCGTCATCTTTGGTGATTTTGAGTCGATCCAAACTGTGAAACGTCCGCCTGAATTAGATCTCGAACACAACGGGGAGGAGTCCAGGCTTTCAGACGGAGCTGTTGAAGGTAACAGCAGCGGAAACCGACCGAATGTTTAATATGAAACTAACTTCATCACAGTTCCCATAAAAGATCCACATGTTGAATCTCCTACAGAAAAACAAAAAGTTTGGTATTGACTTGGTACCGGAGGATCAGACCTCGTGACATCCCTCATCTGAAGAGATAAAGAACTACTTCAAATAGTAGATGACATTCAAAAGTTTATAAACTTGGTCACATGACATGACTTCAGTATTGTGTTGATATAAAGTAAACCTTCTCGAACACCCGTTACTTGAGCATGAAAACGCCCCCTTTACATATTCAAAACAGCCATTTATATTAAAGTATATATTAAAGAGTTAAACGTGACGCTGAAAACTGCATGCGAACATCATGTCCAAACCGCTGACAGCGGGCAGCCGTGTGTTTGCTCATTGGCTGCATGTTAGGAAGTGACGATGGCCGATAGAGAGACGAGTCGCTGCTCTGAAGAAATGAATCCTCGTAATGTTGTTGGACTCGGTTACTTCCTTTTTCCTGACTTTCTGCACTTTCCTTCCACCTGTGGCGGCTGACCAATCAGACTAGAGACAATCTGACCACGTGACTGACACCTGCTGACCTTTGAACCCTCCAATGAAAGGCCTCCACCCTGTCGTCCAACCGCCATTTCATGAGAAACAAGAATTTTACCGTATTGGCCCGAATATAATAGCGCATCAGATATTGTTTTTTCGCCACAGAGTGTTGCATCATGGGTCGGTTTGTGTGAGGAAGGTTATGGTCTCCTCATCGCTCACAGATAAGTGGTGTCTCAGACCTCCTCCCCCGTTGAGCGATGGTCTCTCTACTTTTTGTAAATGTTTTCCTTTCCCCGTCTTTCACACCTGTTACATATTTTGTATCTTCAAAACGACATTTTCAGAAAAAGACGAGTTTGTTTAATCGTCAGGGTCGTCGTTATATTTGGGTCAATACGGTACTTCTGCGAGGATGCACGTAAACATCTCTACGGACCTACACAGTGTGAAGGCCGTTATGATGAGGGTGCAGACACCCAAATATCATCAAACGCCGCACGTCAAACAGCTGACTGGTTGATCCAACTTCCTGTTTGGTGGCAGGTTTGAAACACTGGAATTGAACTGGATTGGCTGAAGTTACACCCTGAAATATGACGATGCGTTCACTGACGGTCGTTTGGGTCGGTCACGGTGCGCTCGTGGACTCATCACATGATGGGAATTAGTTAGTGGAGGACGGTCTGGATGTTTCCTCGCTGGATCAGAGTGTGTAGATGCTGGTTTTCTACCGAACGTGATCTCAGTTTCAGCCTGAAGACGCTCTTCGGTCTTTTCTGCTTTTTGTTTCAGGACTTTGACGAAGAACATTATCATTAACTGTCTCTCACAGTGTTTTATGATCCAACAGGAGAGTTGGAAAATTCACACACGATAGTTTTCACACTTGCTTTAAAGGACCATACTGGTGTTTTTTTAATGTTTGAACCAGTCACACACAGTGTTTTACATCTAGTTCTTTCCAGGCAGCCGTTGGCTTCAGACGTGCTTTCATTTCAGTCGTCAGTCGTAATATCAGTAGATATTAATCAAGAGGCTTTAATAAAAGTTTGACTTAAAACTCCTACCTTAATGACAAAAGTGTTATAATGAACTTAAAATCTAAAACACACAAGTCTGTTTTGGAAAGTGTTGTGTGGAGAGAGTTGGAGTAAATTGGCTAAAACATGCAAAAAAACACAGGTATGGTCCTTTAATTAATCACAAGCTGACTGAACTGATAATCACATGGCAGCCAATCAGCTGTGTTTATGACAACATACCAGAGACATGAATACAAACATCGAAAAGAGTCGACAGGATTTTTATTTTTTTTTTCTCTCAGCGTTTGGGATCTAATTACTGAACGACCAATCGGCTGTAAGGAATGACCCAATCAGCCCCACAGAGCTGCCCTGCCATTGGTCAGTTCAGTGGATTGGCGGGTCGAGGTCCAAGGCAATAATACAGCGACAGGAAGTGAAGCTGGTTGGTCAACTTATCGCAGCAACAAAGCACTTTTGCCAAACCTCAGGGCTCAGAGACACAGAGAGGTTTTGTTTACTCTTTATTCTAGATTTTCAGTAGAGTTTGGTTCAGTTGAGTCCAGTTGTGTTGCGATCGATTGGTTCTGTGTTGTACAGCTGATCACACTTCAATCATATTTACTGTACTAATAGAAATCTACAGAGTTGTTGTTTTTCTGCTGTGATCACCACCAGGTCTGAGTCCAGCTGTCCACATGGAAACATTGTCTTACTTTGGTTTTTGGAGCCAGAGTCGTGCACTGAAGAGTTTTTAGAAAGAAATCATAGTGAAAGCCTTCCAGCAGCTCGCAAACCCAGAGCTTTTGAGACCAAAGCCACCATCTTATAAAAAAAGAAAGAAGAAAAAGTTATAATATTGTGACAAAAAGGTAATTTTACAACACTGACTTAATGAGTGTGTGAGCCCCTCTCCATTATAGGCTTTACCTTGTGTTAAACATTCAAAGTAATTATACAAACACTTCTCATTCCCAAATTAGCTATGCTTTGTCGTGTCCTTCGGCGTCTGGCGCCAACGCACATGGCAGCTTTTAGTGCCGCTGCTGAACGCTAAAAGTAGGCATATTATACATAACAGAAAGGTCACAGTGAAGTGGAGGTTCGGATGGGCTAGTGGTTTAGAAACCGGAGACCAGTGTTCGTTTCGTGTGTGAAACAAAAAGTCAACATTGATTTAAGTCACATAAGTTACGTAGTTATTTTAACCCAAACCTTTTCCTAAACCTAACCAAACTGCGACGTTTCACAACGTTAACCACTAGTTTTATTTTGAAAGTCTAACCGGATATTGCATATTTAATTAAGCTAACTTAACCACGAAGCCCTGCATGTGTAAAGACGACGTTAAAGGGTACAAAGGGCGTTAAAAAGCGACACCAAGGGGTCTTAACCAAGCGTCCATAAGTGACGAGTTGGGATGAGAACAGGTCGAATTTTCAGTCGATTTCTTGCTTTGCGATGAAACTCTTCAGTCAGGACCGCTCACGTGTTTGTAAAAATGACCTGAAAAGGTGTAAATGGTTTTAAAAAATGTTGTCTGTGCTCAGCTCTGGTGGACGGTAAGACTTTGTCATACTCCATCTGTACCATAACATCCTGTTTGTAAAAGCTCAGTGAGGCTGATCCTGTCCACCTCCCATCCACGTCAGAACAAGACCAGGTAATATCTCTATGAAGAGATAATGTCTGTTTTATTTTCTTATTTAATTTTACAACCTGGCTCTTATTTTGGCAGCTTTGTGACGCTGTGGTGAAACAAGGCTAAAAAAACAGGACGTTTCATTTAAGGAGTAACTTAAACACTAAATCACTGCACGAGGTGAGAACATCGACCATGATTTCCACCTCGGGTAACCGATGGCTGCTGTAACGCAACAGTCCTACATTTTCCTTTTAACTTTGCACTGCTTAACCATTTTGTAATAGTTGCTGTTATGTTTTTACAATAGAGGATCTCTAATGGGAGTTAAACTCAGGACAGGATCGTAACAGAAGTCTCAAATTTTCATAAGCTATTTTACAGCACTTCAGATGTTGAACACGATGTGACGTGATGCTGCTGGATTTTGAAAACCTCCAGAACCTCTCCAGTTTGACAAGACCTTATATATGTTTTTTCTCAGCTCTCATTCAGTATGACGGTGTGCATAGTTCCAGGTTGGATTTGGGCCACTTTCGTTTGTAGTCCAAATCATATATCAAGATTAAAAAGAACGCATGCGACCTAAGTATGCTAGTTTGAATTTGAACTCCCTTAAACATGAGATCAAGTTTGAACTCCAGTGAGCAGGAGTTTGAGTTAAAATTTCTGGGAACAAGAGTCGAAACTCAAGTCGGAACCCCTCTAGATAATAGTTTGAGCTTGAACCCAAGTTCAAACGCCCACGAGTTCAAACTCACAAACACACGAGTTTGAGAAAAGCATATCGTGCGTACTCGAGAGTTTTGACAACTCTTGATTGTTTAGCAGTCGTTGCGTCCGATGGTTAGGGTGGGGTTAGGGTTAGCCAATCAGAGACAGAGTAGGGGGCAGGACTCGACGCAAAGCTGATGTCCGTCAAATGAGAATTGTAGAAACTGGTTCTTCGACATGTTTTCAGTTGAGCATGACGTATTTGAAGAACGGTCGGTCTGAGATCACAATGAGTTTTCAGGACTATTTGCTGTTAAAGGTCTTGTCGAGGTGGAAACGTTTGCGGCGGTTTGGTCGGGTTCAAAGTTTGTGAAACCCAGCGAAGATGACATCAACACTAGTCTGCCGGTGGCTCTCTCAGGACCACTTCCTGGGTGTCTGGCGTTTTGTTATGGATCCCACCGTAGTTCTGGGCAGAAACAGAAGTCCTGAATCCCAACTGTCTCCAATTTTCACCTAAACAAAACAATTCTCAACGTTGAACTAACCTGATCAAACCTTCAGTTCAACCAGTGTTTCGGACCAATCGCAGCTTCTGCCTGTAATTCTGCTGATATCCATAATTTCTGGAGGTGGGCAGCCTCTTGGGTCGAGGCCAGCCGCTGGATGAAAACACTGAAAAAATGTGTATATAGTGCAACCCTGTTAATAGGCAAATACTAACGGAGACTCTATTTTATGTATGAGCTGAGGGAGAGACACTAACTCAAGGAGAATATTTGATTTGATGTTTTTATTTGTAAAAGTGTGCGAGAAAGTGTACAGTAATGACAGAAAGAGAAAGATGATGAATTTATGACTTTATGAATTGTACAGTTAAATCTCTTCAGTTTGATTGTTCTGTTTTCTATCTAAAGCTTGGGGTTGTTTCTGTTTGTTTTTTTGTACAGAAGTGGTTGTTTACATCAATACAAGTCCTTATTTCTGTGATCGTCAGACAGACGATGTGTTTGGAGCAAAGGCCTGGGAGGAGGCGGGGCCTGGAGGTTTGGCGTCATATTACAGAATAATCAGGAAAATAACCAGTCTAGCCTGCTTTAATGTATGACGTGTGAGTAATAGTTAAGTGATTTTTCTTTATTTTACCAGAAGCAGGTCGTGATATGTGATTAAATTTAATTTATCATAATGTAATAATAATGACATTTTTGAGAATTGTTTTGAAAAATATTTCAAGATATGGACGCAATTTCTGTCTAAAAGTGGTATACATTATAATTTTACTTCAAAAAAGGACTTTAGTTTAGAAGTTTGAATTTTATGAGAAATTATTATAATTTTTAAGAATTAAGTTGTAATTTTGCAAGAAAAAGTTGTCTTAAAAAATTATTACTAGATAAACAAAAAAAGTAGTAACATTTCAAGAATAAAGTCAGAATTTTATGAGAAGTCATAATGTCTTAATAAAGTCAGAATTTTGATGGTAACAATTTGATTAGATAAGTGGTAGATAGTATAATTTTACTAAAAAACATTAAGAAAGAATAAAGTCAATATTTAGAGAAGAGGGCCGTAATTGATTGATTGAATTGTCTCTTTACAAGAATCATAATGTCAGAATTGAGTCAGAAGTTTGAGAAAAGATTTGTTTTTAAAAAAACTCTTTTTTCTCATACTATGACTTAATTCTGTCATTTTCTTCTGTTAACTTCTGTTATGGATTGGCATTAAATAAATACAATTTAATTGAATTCTTAAAATATTTGTACAAATTTAGAACTCTATTGTTGAAATATTTGGACTTTCCTCATAAAATTACAACTTTCGTCATAGTCCAACTTATTCTAGTTTTTAATGTCCGACTTTTTCTAGTAAAATTAATATTGCTTCATAAAACACACAGTTAACTTTTTTTTACTAAAATCCAAACCATATGTTGAAATTTTCTCACAAAATTTAACTATCCCATCATATAATTTTGTTCCCCCCACAACTTTATTTTCTTAATTTCTCGTGTTTTTTCCCCCAGAATATTATTACTTTATTCTCAACATAACGCCCCCTAACAGCAGCCCTGACACACTGTACTGATGCACTTTATCGTGCCGTTATGTTTATTATCTGCAAAAACAATCTTTTTGTCCAAGTCTGGTAGCGTGTATAAAATATTTTGTTTAAAATGATTTAAGTTCAGCTACTATTGGCCAAAAAAATTATTTGAATGGGGGGGGAAAAAATGAAATCCTAATTTATCTAAGGAAATGTTATAAGCCGAGACAAGACAGTGTACACGTTTAAGGATTTAAGATGTTAATTTTGGTGAGAAACAGATGAATTGGAAAGCTATTAATTACGCTGAATCTAACTGCATTGCAGCCTTTAGGTGAAGTTCAGAAATTGATTTGTAGCTCAGCTAAAATGATTGAAAGAAACCGATTTGAAACTGGTCTCGTCTCCTCCAGACGTGTTGCTCCCTCTGCTGTCACACTACAAACACTGAAATAAAACCTCTGGACAACAACAACAAGTCTTGGTTCACACTCACTTCTCTGTATGTCTGTGTTTGAATTTTATCTGCCGCACAAACTTCCCCCACTCAGCACTGTAGTATTTAAAGTTATAAAACTTTCTGAAAAAGTTTGAATATTATTAAAGTAAAGTAACATTGTGTGAGTATAAAGTCTTAATTCTATGAGAAACAGGTTATAATATGTGATTAAAATGTAATTTTACAACAGTTATAATGTCAATTATGGTATTTTCAGAAACATTTTGATTTTAAAAAACAATATTTCAAGATAAGGTTGCAATTTGAGTAGAAAAGTAGTACATGGTATACTTTTACAACAAAAATATGTCTTTATGGAAGAAGTTTTAATTTTTCATAAGTAACATTATAGTTTGAGAATTATGTTGTAATATGCAAAAGTTTTCTTGAAATTTTATTGTAAGATACAGATATACCAGAAAAAGTCGTAACATTTCAAGAACGTCGTAATTTTATAAATGTCACAATGTCAGAATTAAGTCATAATTTTGAGAAAAGGTTTGTAATAAACTAAATGTTTCAAGATAAGGTTGCAATTTGAGAAGACAAGAGTCCATCCATCCATAATTTTACTACAAAAATAGGAGTAAAAGGAAGGAGTTTTCATTTTTCATAACTTCATGTCAAGTCAATATTTTGAGAATAACCTCCTAGTTTTTGAGAAACAGGTAATATGTTATTAAACTGTCATTAATGTATTGATTGATTAAAATTAAATTAAGTAATAAATAGAGCCACGCGTCGTGTGTTTGCGTCGCCGACTCCTGTCTGGGTCTACGCATTGTTAAAAAGCAAGTATGTCGGGGGCTTCATGCTTTACTTTCAACGGGGAGGAACGCTCCTTCAGAACCTCACGGGAGTCGGAGGATTTTCTGAGCAGAATGAGTAATTCCCAGCGCAGAATAAGGATCGCTCTATTTTAAATGCTTTTTCCACTATTTCCACAGCATAAACACAAACTGAACTTTCACAGAGTGGAGGATGAGGAAGATAACTGCAGACTGTGTGTGGTACAGTGATGACGCCTATGGAGATGGATGTCTGACGGTTACTTTACATAATGTTGCGGGTTCTGTCGGGTTATCTTTATGGAGAATGTTACGTCCCGGTGGCATCCAGGCGATGCGGGACTAACAGCTAAATTTGAATTCCCGGGGTGGAAAGTTAAGCAGGTGACACAGGTTCAAGTTTTAACGAAGATTTATTATGATCAGGCAGCAAAACGGAAAGACTCGTCCAGTGGAGATGGTCAGGAGACAAACCAAAACAGTCTGGAGGCAAAAAAAGGGGACTTAATAATTACAACGAAGGTTATGGGGGGCGTCTGTGAAATAACAAAGATTAGTAGCCTACACAACACTCACTCTGTAGCAAGAGCCCACCTGAAAAACAAAACAGTCTATTAATGATTGGTCCTGCAGCGGGAGGGCGCCGGCGGGCGGCACAGCGGCTGCCACCTCAGGAACTGGTCTACCCTTCTCTTCTACTGCCCGCTACTTCACACGTAGATCAAAGCACAGCACACTTCTCCGTATTTACTAGCAGGAGGCGACTTTAATTGTACACCTAACCCTACTATTTTTAGTCCCCCCCCCCTACTTTTTCCAAGAAAAGTGAGAAAATTGGCAACTTTCTTAAAGATTTAGAGTTGTACGATGCCTGGATTGATAAAGATGACACTTTCTTTTCAGCTCTTCATCAGGTTTGTTTCCAGAAAAGATTATTTTTTGTCTTCAAGAACGATATTGGGCAGAATAGTGGTCTGCACACCTGGCACCAAGCTTCTTTCTGACCTCTCTCCTGTTAGTGTGACTGTCTCTCCGCCTGCAGACACTGGAGATTGAACCCTACTCTACTAAGTAAGCATCTCTTTGTGGTGTATGTTGTGTCAGAATGGCAGCAATTCATCGCTGAAAATAGAACTCCAGATATAAGTCCTTCTACATTGTTGGAATCTGCCAAAGCATTTATACGTGGGGCTATTATATCTTCTACGTCAGCACAGAGGACAGTCAATTTAAGAAATCCCGCAGCAGCTCTTTGGGAAAACAGCTGGATGCAGCTCGCGCAGCCTTAAACCAGCTCCTAACCAAGTAAAAAAACCAAGACCCGGGACACGCAAAGTGCACACTGAGGGCCAAAACAGTCATCTTTTCAAGAAGCAACAGTAACTAGCCATGCCAAAGGAAACAAATACCTCTTCTACTGTGTGCAAAGAAAGTTCAACCCCAGTCACTGCAACAGTGCAAAGAAGTGCATCTCTCCTCTCTTGTACCAAGCAAACGTCGTGACAGGTGCTTTATGCAAGAGCAAAGTACTATCTGCGCTAAAGGTGGCAAATTCGCATTTTTGTTTTAACAGGTAATTGTTGAGTGTTGCATAATCTGCTGGGTAGAGCTGCATCCACCGATCTGAAGGAACGCCTGAGCACATATAGTCCTGCTTTAAAAATTATCAACACGAAACACAGGAGTCGTCTGTTCGTGTTCCTTTGTGCCTGTTAAAATGTGCGCAGCAGTGTTGGTGAAGGGAGCTCTGACTGACAGATTAAAGTAGTCCAGGAGAGAAAAATAAAAGCACGTATAACCTTCCGTAAATCCGACGGAGCTGAAAGAAGCAGCATTCTTCACTTGAGCATCAAAACAGACGTTATGCTAAGAGTTCAAGATATTTCAGTCTGAGCCAGCGGACGACAGCCCACACAAACGAAAACAATAGAATTACAGCAGCAATCTGGTGGGTTTGGTTTGTGCAGACTCTTTCTGGATGTTGCTGTTCATTTATTCTCCACTGACGACAGGAAAGGGGTTCAGTAACATTAGAGGCCACACAGCTGTGTTCGTGCAGGTCCCTGTGGTCCAAATGTATTGCAATGTAAGATAGTCTCAAGTGTGTTTGTGTGTGTGAGGGGAGGTGAACAGACTCCCCCTGGGAGGACGACAGCTTTCCATCCCTGATTAGGAGAAGGTTTATATTTAGGGTCAATTTGGGGGATGGGTGAAGGTTGGCACTTCAGATTAAAGACACATTTAGAGAAGAGTAGAGAGCACAGACCTCCACCAAGGCCAATAGTCCAGTCTTCTGTGATATGCAAATCCAGCCTGTTCTCTACCCCAGGGCGTCAGATGCCTACGCTTTGTCACGTCCTTCGGCGCCTGGTACCAACGCACATGGCGCTCTGTGGCGTCATTGTTCAACGCTAAAAGTAGGCCTAGTATAAATAACAGATAAGTCAGAGTAAGGAGGTGGACAGGTGGGTCAGGAACTGGAGGGGTGGTGTTTGATTCTCAAGTCAAAATTGATTCTTTTTAGGGATGTCACAACCCAAACCATGATCTTTTCCTACACTGAACCAAACGGCAACGCTCACCACTAGTTTTTAGTTTGAAAGTCTAATCAGACGTTGCATTTTTATTCTTGCTCACTTGACCGTGGAGACCTACACGTGCAATAACGACGCTAAAGGTACCCGGGTGTTAATAAGCGACACAGGGGTGACAAAGCGTCATGTACATGTGACAAGCTGGGATGAGAACGGGTTGGCAAATCTGCAAGCCAGCCACCATATATGTCTGGATGTTTCCTAAACTATTAGAATTACAGAACGATAAAATGTGGTTGTGCACAGCTGAAGCTTCATCATCTCAGCTGTGCATCTATAATGTACTTTGCACATGTCGGAAATCCAGAATTGCAGATTAATCTGGAAATAGTACGATTTGCAAATTAGCTTCCTGGGATATGATAACTTTTAGGGATAGGCGACAACAAACGGTGTGATACCAATACTTTTTGTTACAATCTTAATAATAATATTCAATACAACTTCTTAAATGGGTACAGGATTTTTCAAAATAATGGAAAGCTTTAGAAAAAATTACTTTTAAAGGCAAATCACATCACACAAACGGGGTCCAGCAAACAGACCAACCTCAAATTTCAACCCCACCATCAGCTGCACGGCAACAGAACCTGAAGCTCTCTGATTTGATGTTTCATACAGCAATGCTTTCTGGGACTCGTAGTTCTGAAGTTGTCGTTTTTTGGTGAGGCAGTTTAGGAAAGCCCGTTTCCATTAAAAGTTTGGTGTGACAGAAACAAAAGTGTGTCGACCTTTTTAAGGACATATTGACTTAAGACTTGCCATCCGCTAACAGACAGGTATCTGGACACTGCTGCAGCAGGACATTTGAACACCTGATATCTGAGTGAAGCAGCAGATGAAGGAGTTTAAACTGAGGGCAAATCAAGGCGCTGCTGACATGGCTGAGCCTGAGCCAACACACTGACTGTATATGTGTGAGAGACGTGTGTGATGAGCAAGGGCGTTACTTTGTGTTGAAAGGAGGTGGGGACACAAGGGCTCAGACGAAAAGACCTTTTTATACGATCTTCAGCGTGCGCGATTGCAGGAAATGTAATGCAAGGTCAGGTAGATAATTCCAAATTATGGAGGGGGTAAGGAAAAATATTACAGAGGCGACAATATGAAAATACTTAGCATAAAACGCACAACAGCGTCGACCGCACAAGTAAACGTCACACATCACAACCACACCTGCAACACCGTGTCATTAAATCCACGCTAAAACCACCTCTACTGTACAGAAAACACCGGTGCATGCAAGTCAGCCCAACAACAGGCCTATCGGACATCACTGGCCTAAGATAGAAACAACATAAGCAGTAATGTTAACAATGTTAGCTAAATATAATAACCTTGCCTTTAGATCTTAAGTTAAACTACCTTGTAATTTCAACGCTGCTTACTTTGTTTTACGTTAGAGAAACAGGATGTCACAAACCCGGCGTGTCACGTTCACAGGGGGAGAAAGAAAAACATGGACAAGAAGAAACTGTGTCCAGAATTTGTTAAAGTTACTGATCGGTGCGTTTTTGGGTCATTTTAGAATCAGAAGGTTTGTTTTTTTTATCTTAAGTTATTATTTTTGGACAATTCAAATTTGTTCCTTCTA